CGGTTGTGCGGCACAGTAAGATTTGGGCCTCAGGCCAAAAATTTTACCAATTTCGGCCTGCCATTTTCCCACTATAGTCGGGAAGTGCTGCCGAAATTTTACAGCGTCAGTCCTGATTTTTACTGTGGTGGTGCCGAAGTGCTCCCGAATTTCTGCGGCGGCGGCACAAGCTTTTACGGCGGCAATTCCGGTTTTCTCGGCGGTAGTGGGAAAGTGTTACCGAAATTCTGCGGCGGCGACTACGGTTTTATCGGCGGTGGTGCGAAAGCGCTGCCGAAATTCTACGGCGGCGACTACGGTTTCTTCGGCGGTGGTACGGAAGCGTTGTCCGAATTTTTCGACGGTGACTCCGGTTTTACCAGCGGTGGTGCGGGAGCGCTGTGAAAATTTTACGGCGGCCTCACAAGGTCACCGAAGGTAGAAGTTCCACATTTAGCGGCAACCGGACCTTGGTGTAGGGAAGGTACCGCTGGAGCGGAGGATTGAGGTGGTGTGAATTTTGACGGCGTGGTGACGCGGTAACAGTGGAAGTCAGTGGCGGTCACACTCATTGGAAAACATAGTGAGGAGGCGTTGTGGCAGGTGGTTGTGGTGAAAGGAGTGGTGTGGATTATTTGTCGACGACTGGAAGACAATTATCTCTTGACAGAGGGGCGTAATTTTATACGGCTTTCTTGAGTGAGCCATTATTATCTTTATTTCAACGTCACTCAAGGTCAGTTAAATTGACTCAGTTCCCTTCATACCTGAGTGAACCCACACTTGCTTTGACCTGTTTCACTGAATGGTTATTGAAAAAGGGAAGAGGATGTGTGCTCTTGAGTGTATGACTGGGAGTCTGACAATGGTAAAGGAATGCATGGTGGTCTGTGTGTTGTTGGGTTTTGACTGCAGGTACGGCATGTGGACTGAAAAGGATGAGGGTGATGACGGTGAAAGAATGGTTGACTTTTTCATCTTTCTGCTTGTGTTCTATGTATAAATAAAAGAGAAAGAAGACGACGAGAAACGAAGCGAGGACAAGGAAGAAAAGTTCAATTGGATTTAGACTTATCCCTGAGGTTACTAATTCTTTCCCTAATGACCCTTTTCCATTCTATGCCTGTCAGTCTGAATGATTTTATCTTTCTACGAATTCTTTTTTCTTCGGCCAAGTTTACCTTTTGACGTTAAGCGACAAGATTTTTTTTGTCTGTCGTGTAGATGCCTTCCTTTTTTCTAGGAGACATCTGGGGCGGGGGTTCGTTGCCTTAGGGGCCGGCCCTGTTATCGACTCAGAGTGGACCGCTTTGTGGGGGGGTACTATGTCGATTCGGTGGAGACGCCCTGACTTCTGAGATTCGAGCTTTGTGCTTGGGCGAGGAGGAGTATCCCAGACCACCTCTTAGGGTAATGAAAAAGGCATCTACACGGAAGAATGTGATTTCTTGACGCCTTGCGTAAAAAGAAAACTGCTTTAGCACCCCTGTTTTAAGTGATTATCTTAGGTACCACTAACGTATGGAGAGTTGGTGCCACAAGCATCATGACTCATGTCCTACTAGGCTACTAGCTGACCGGAGTACAGTAAGATACTCCTGACGTGGTTGGTCGTGTCAAAAGAAGCACGGGCCGTAAGGAAGACAAAAAATAGATAATAATCGAAGGCAAAAGTTTAACTTAAAACACATTTGTCTTCCTTTTTCTTTCAGATGGCTATGGGATCTACGGACTTGTTCCTTTTCTACAACCGCGATTCGACGGCTGAAAGGGTCGAACTCCAAGAGCGTAATGGAGAAAGGGTAGAGAGGATAGACCGAATTGTTTACAATTCATCAGTGTTGTACTCTGAGGAGGACGTTCCGCGGTTTTGAGATGGTAGTGTGCAAAGACCCCCCAGACGGCTTATTTTCAGGAGACCGACCGGCTTGGATGTTCTTCATTCGAGTTCGCGCCGCCATTGCCCGAGCGTCACTTCGTCAATATGAACTTGGTGGTATTGCAGCCATATGGGATCGACCCACGGGTGGACGAAACTGCGGAAATAAGGTTGATGTTCGTTCGATACGTGCTTTGGCTAAACGATTGACAAGGGTTTTTCTTCGATATATACTTCGTAGAACGGGTGCGAGCCAATAGGTTCGCAATCGTAGACATCGAGTCATTATACGATGATGATTTGGAGGCTGAGGCGGATGAAATAGAGGAACATCTACGCGACTAATTCTGACTTTATTCTGATACGCAGATGCCTGAAGCTCGAAGAAATTTGACAATCCCAAGGTACTTGCTGGTTCGCGATACGCCCGAGGAGGATCTTATCAGGAGTGCAGAGGGACTTTTACGAGTTCGAGATGAATCTCCTACCGAATGGATCGACTTCATTGGATTGCTTTGAAATGGCAAGGGATTCTTCCCTAACATTCGTGCGGACACGGCTCGAACTTTCGACGAGCTTTACAGTTATACTCTGTATTTCCACCGCGCGAGTAATCTACAATGTCTCTCTCGAGTCATTGTGAGTATCAAGATTACCTCGTCCGGTAGGCGTTTCGGCGTCGTCCGGATCCGGGACACAGAGACTCGACACCTGTTTGGACTTAGTCGACCTCTCCGAGTTATAGTTTGGAGACTAGCCTCTCGGATGACCTCCTTCTATAATACACGGATTATTAGAGTCATGCGATGTGGACGAATGTCTACTCTGATTTTTGACGACGACAAGCTGGCGCGTTTGGATTCGTTAGAGGCACAGGTGCACAGCGGGCGACAGATCTACCAGGATTAGAGCGTGTCTTCTGAAATCTTACTCAGATTTCAGAAAACACCTCGCATGGACTCAGTCCCGTTGAGGAAACCATATAATTTATGGTGTCATGAGGTAATCTAAAAACAAAAACAAAACACTTTATGTAGTTAGGACCGTTGGATGGATAGTATTCGGATTACCCCGATGATTTCACTATCATGCTTATGCATTGAGGGGTAATTGTTCGCATAAAAATAAGCTGGATAAAGTGAAAAGCGAACGTCTGAAAAAAGTTATCAAGCGAAACAGCGGAAGATGAAATTCCTATACTGCAGCGACACGAGCAAACGTCATCGGTTGATCTACCTATGCGATTGCATTTAAAAACCTTCGCACATGGATCAGTAGCTCGGTAGGGATACACCCCTAAGGGTGGTGACAGCCCCTTAGGGATGCAAGCTTATGCCCCGCGGGAACCTGTCCTGTCGTAGGGGACCGTGGGATGTGTAGCTGGCGCACCCGGCTAAAGCAGCGAAGGAGCGAAGCAACCGCGTCCGTCTCGGCGGTTCACAGAATATTATGCGTCGTTCTTGAGTTGTCTCTTAAAGTTATGTTTTAGGTAAACTCCTGCGTGACATGGCCGGGAGGGCCCTCGTTTTCGCACAAGCGCCGATGTCCCTAGCGGAAGGACACTTGAGTGATTTACGGAGTGAAAAGTTATTCTCTTTTCCTTGTTTGATCTCAGAAAAAGTCTGTAATTTGATCCCAAAATTATGAGATATTATTTATGCAGAAGGATTGACTGATTTTTGTTGAATATGTTGATTGTGATTTTCTTCACTCAAGATGGCTGATAACAACGACAATCAGGATGAGAGAAGAAATGACATTTAGGAGCTTGCAAGAATTATTCAGCAGTCCCAAAAGGATCAAATCCCGAAGGTTGACGTTCCATTATTTGATGGTAACAACGTCTCGGGATGGGCAGAAAAGTTCGAGCAATTAGGAAGTTGTTGCGAGTGGTCGAATGAAAAAATGTTGCGAATGGTGAAGAGATACTGCAAGGTCCAGTACAAGGAAGAGATGGAGGAGTTGGTACAAGATTCGCGGGACTGGCCAGAATTCAAAAGGAAGCTGCTAGAAAAGTATCAGTTGAGTGATCAACTGTTGGACTTAACCGATTTGAGGAAAGTTAGTCGGAAAAGCTTTGGTACAACAAAGCAGTTCCTTATTGAATTCGAGCGGCTGGCGAGGTTAGTTCCTGACCTTCCAGATAAAGATCGTTGTCTCATCTTCCTGGATAATTTCACGGAGGTAGAGCAGCTAAAATTGGTGAAAGGCATGAAAGAGAGGTATGATTGGCCAAAAATTCGAGAGAATTCATTGGCCGGGGACTTTGACCAGATCCTCTATCGGTTGCTGAAACAGCAGAAGGAGAATCGGGAGAGGATATAGTTGGGGACGGGCAAGGACAAGGAGGTCTATAAGACCTTATCTGACATGAGGGAAATGATGACCAGTATGAAGGAGGAGCGGTTAAAGCTTCAAGTGATGATGGCCAAGGTGAAGACTAGGAAGAAAGAAGAGAAGGAGTCAGTCACTGAAGTGAGCAGCAGTGAGAGTGGCAGCGAGGAGGACAAGGAACCTCCTCGGAAACTAACCAAGGCTGAAAGAAAAACCTTGAATCAGATACGAGGAGGGCAGGGTACTTCTCGTAAACAAGGAGAAAATAGTAAGAATGGAGGGAATGGAAGCAGTGAGCAGCAAGTTGGTCAGGGGAAACAAGGCCAAGGTTAACAGAATCAACCACAGGGTGGTCGAGGTCGTGGTAGAGGTCGCGGAAACGGTGGCGGACAAGGAAACTGGCAGGACTACGTCTGCAAGTATTGTGATATGAAAGGACATGTTATTCGTTTCTGCCAAATCCTCGCGAAAGATGAGAAAGACCAAATCGTCTTTACGACGATTCGAGGAGAACTCTTTGACTTCGAGGGAAATCTCATCGATCAGGATATTGAAGGAGGAATGAGAAAGGAGGTATTTCGACGGATGAGTCGTCCTCTTCCGGCTACGTTCCGGTTAGCTTCTCCTAAAGAAGCAAGCCTTTTTGAATTAGAAGAAACAATGGCTTCTTTGGAGATCAGTGGCTAAAACGAAGAAGAGTTGAAGGGAAGAAAAGAGGAAATTGCTCATCGGGCGCGAAAGGTGACCAGGAAACTGGGCAAGTGTCGAAATTCTATTGTTCAGTTATGTGTTGATATGGAAGTAGTCTGGTCGAACCTTCCTAATGTGTTCCTTTTTGGTGGATGGGGGAACGAAGGTCACGATGGGTCAGCACCTGCGACTACTTCGGCGCCTGAAGCAACGCCGATGACTCGGCCAATGACAATGTCCAGACCTGTACTCAAACGAGGGATGTCAACCATTATGGTGCAGATGAGGAAGGGAAGGAAGACCTCACAATCGCAGCCTGCGCCAGGAGAAAGTTCAAAGGAACCTCAGAAAAAGGAACCTATTCAGGTAGAGGAAGGGGATGAAGATGAGGAGGATGAAAGATTGCGAGCAGAGGATGAATTGCTAGCAAAGCAGAGAGCTATGGAAAGAGCTTCGGAAGCAGGAAAGACCCAGCTCGAAGAAAAGGAACCTCGCCAAAAGAAGAATATATACACGATCCCTGTCGAAAAATGGATTGATTTTGAACAGCTTGTGGATCGCATTCTGAAAAGCCAGCGTGATTTGGTTACCCTAAAGGAGATTCTTGCTGTATCGCCGAAGCTTCGCGAGGAATTTAAGCAGCGCATGACTCGGAAGAAAGTCATGACAGTTAAGCTAAGTGAGATCATTCCTCCGGAAGCTAACTGGGCGTCTCCTGGGACAAAGATGGATTGGCGATGTGTGGTCACTTGTCTCATAAAAGTTCAAATCGGTCGTGAAGAGTTCTCTGCTCTCGTAGATGATGGGGCCAAAATGAACATCATGAGAGAAACGCATGCGATTGAAGCTGGGATTCAGATCAATCGCAATGACTTTGAATTTTTGATTGGAGTCGGCGGGGCAACTCCATTTTGCGGTAGTACTGCTAGTGGCGTGATGGTCACTGTTGGGAAGGTAAAGGCGACGTCGTACTTTTATTTATTGCCAAAGGTTGAGCACGACGTACTTTTGGGAAGATCTTTTCAATGTCGCACAGAGAGCATAATCTTCAACAAGCATGACGGCACCAAGTTTGTAGCTTTGTGTGATCGGGTTTGCGGCTATTATGAAGTGGTAAAGTGCGCGAATACTGGACCAGCAAATTCAAGGAACCGATTGAATCCCGAATCATATACCTTCTTAGAGTCTGAGAAGTTCAGGAGAGAGAAAGAGGCGATCGAGGAGGAAGGGAATCATCAACAGTTTTCGTTAACATTGCCAAGTATCTCGCAGACAATCGATTTCGCAGCAACCCATCTTGCAATTGATCCAAACCTGATATAAGCCTTGATGAAGGTTGTGGTCGACAAAGAATGTGCAGGGACCATGCATCTTGTTTATCGGCCAAATGAATCTCGTAAGGAGGAATCACTGCCATTGGCCCGGCAATAGTTTTTTTTAGGGGACGGAAGTTCAACGTTGGGTCCAAGAGGAAGTATAAGAAAGTAGGAGAGAAGGTGCGACCAGTGTCAGTTTTGATCACTCCGGAAAAGGAGGTGTATTACAAGGAAGAACGCGAGTGGATCAGAACATTGAAAGAGAAGGGTGAGAAGGGACCGTGTCGATTGACAGATGAGAGGGTCAAGGAGATGATCATTGGACAGGATGACCTCCTCACCAAGGAGGAAACCCAATTCTTTATCGACGTTATGAAGAAAATTCATCTGGTTTATGCTTTTGATGATGATGAGCGTGGAAGGTTGGACGTCGATATGATTCCAATGATCCGGATCCATACGGTACCGCATGAGTCATGGAATGTGAAAGGTTCACGATATCCGAATCCGGACTATCACCAGAAGGTGGTTGATTATCTTGATGGTAAGGTTCAGACCAAAGTGGTTGACTATTCGTATGGGTCATATGCGTCTCCTTGGTTCTGCTTTATCAAGCCGAACGGTGTTTTGCGATGGGTTCAGGACCTGCAGAAATTGAATTTCGCGACAGTCCGAGATGCAGGCGGACTTCCGAACGCCGACCAACTCTCAAAATCTTGTGCAGGCCGGCCTATCATCACCCTAATTGATTTGTACTCGGGGTATGATCAGTTTCTGCTGTACACAGCGGATCGACCTATGACGGCAATGCATACGCCTCGGGGACTGCTTCATATGTGCGCGGCTCCACAGGGTTGGACAAATGTCGTGGCAATTGTGCAGAGATATATGATGAGAGTCATGCAGCCATTTTGTCCGGACGTGACTTCTCCATATATCGATGATTTGGCCATCCCAAGACCTCGAGTCAAGGATGAGACTGAAGTTTTACCTGGCGTTCGAAAGTTCGTATGGGAACACATCAGCAATGTGCAAATGGTTCTGAGGAAACTGAAGGAATATAACCTTACTGCTAGTGGGGTTAAACCGAGGCATGGCATGAGAAAGGCGGTAATACTGGGATTCCTTTGTGACGAAAAGGGTCGTCGGCCAGATGCCAAAAAGACGAATAAAATTTTGGAGTGGCCGACTCCCTTCAAATCTATTACCGACGTTCGGAGCTTCCTCGGGACATACGGATTTTGGCGTATTTTTACTCGCAGGTTCGCAGCGAGGGTGAAACACTTCCGGAAATTAGTACACAAGAGTCAGATCTGGGAATGGGGATCAAAGCAGCAGGCAGCCGTTGAGGATATGAAAGTTGAGTTTCGAGAAGGCGGCCTGATCTTGGGAATTTCTTGCTTTGATGATGCTGAAGGTCGTCCCTTCATCATCGAGACTGATGCAGGTCCTACCGCTTTGGGAGGAGTTTTGGTCCAAAAGGATGAGGAAGGATGGGAGCGGCAATTGAGATTCGAGAGCAGAACTCTGAATGTTACTGAGCGGAATTACTCCCAGTTTAAGAAGGAAACTCTCACTATGCTTCACTGTCTGCGCATTTTCATATATTATGTATTTGGCAGGCGGTTCATTCTGCGAGTTGATCCTACAGCTCTAACTCAATCATTGAAGAACTATTCTCCTTCTGATCCAACCATTGCTCGATGGCTGACGTATATTTGGATGTTCAATTTTGAGATTGAGCGCATTTCAGGCACTCAGAATCGAGCAGATGGATTGAGTCGTGCTAATTGGGACTCATCGACGGATCAGGCTGAGGATTTAGTTCCTGTCGATGGGTTCCTCGAAGGAGAAGAGTCACAGTTGAGTACTAACTCATACGATTATTCGACGGATGCAACAACCCGGCATGGAAAAACCATCTGGAATGCTCCTTGTTTCCATCATGTGCGACCAGAACTTGTGATTGAGGAGCCGTTCATTGAGGAAGACCCATGGGGTGAAAGAACATCAGAGCAAATGATGAACTTGGCTTTATCTGATGAAGTCGAACTCATCAAAGAGCCACTGACGATTGAGTATGGGCATGAACAGGCTGATAAGACTTTCAGGGTCACTGGAGAGATGTCATTCCTTGTGAATTCTCTAATTCACGAGGACCGCCTGAAAATGATGAATGAAGAAGCAAAAGGCAGTGAGATCAGAGAAGCTTTCAAAGAAGGAGAGTATGATGGGGAGTACAGATTGATGGGAATATGGTTGAATGGTGAGTTGAAGGAGGATGAGGTGGATCCAGTTGTTCGCCAGAAGAGCAAATATTTTGTTGTACGATATGGTCATCTTTTCAAGAAGTCCAACGATGGTATCCCGAAGAGAGTGGTATGTGGGGTTGCGCGACAACTTGATGTGATTGCAGCTTCGCATGATGGGGTCGCAGGCGGACATAGATCGGCGCAAGTCACTTTGAAAAAAATTCAACATCTTTATTTTTGGGAAGGAATGAACAAAATGGTGAATGAATTCTGTAACTTTTGTCTTCCTTGCCAAAAACGATCTAATCTGCGTTATGTTGAACCTCTTAATCCACGCTATGTCGCTGAGCCGGGAGCAGTAGTACACCTTGATCTATTTGTCATGCCGCCTGGGATAAATAGGTATAGATATATCTTCAATGCAAGGAATAATATGATTGGGTTCGTTGATGGTTGTGCTATTCGCGAGCGTACTGGACATGTTTTAGCAGAATGCATTGAGGAATATTATCTCCGGTATCCGTTTGTCCGAGAAATTGTCATGGATCGAGGTGGTGAGTTTCAGGCAGGGGAGGCGCAGACGCTTCTGAAGAAACTTGGAGTAAGCTTTAGCGATACTACAAGGGCACATCCCCAGGCCAATGCGTCAGTTGAGCGTGGACATGCCACTCTAACAAATTTGTTGGCAAAATGGTGCGGAGATGATCCTTCGAGATGACAAATATATGTAAGAACGGCATTCTTTGTTGAGAATGTCACCATAAAGCGGACAACTAGATACGCTCCGGTCACATTGTGGTTTGGGCGTCATGCAACTTTTTCAATCGAAAGTTTTCTGACCACTTAGAGAAAGCGGGATTTGCAAACGAAGCTTTCAACGGAAGAGTTATTAGAATTAAGGGCAAGACAAGTAATGATCACTGTGGAAAGGGTTGAGGAGGTCGCTGCCTCTACTTTAGAGAGTAGACAGGCCGACAAGGAAAGATAGGATAAGGGGTCTCGTGTTCGTAAGGAACCATTGGAAGTAGGGGATATCGTACTTCTTTATGATTCGTCCTTCGAAAAACAATGGTCTCGGAAATTGGACAGCCGATGGTTGGGGTCCTATCGTATTATCAGGAAGTCTGAGCATGAGGCTTAAGAGATCGAAGAGATTGATGGGGCTCGAGGTCGAAATTGGGTGTCAGGATTACATTTGAGAAAGTTTATTCCAAGGACTTAATAAAATGGTTTTTTATTGGTATAAGTCTCTTTTTCTTTTCAGGACTTGCCTTTCCTCTTTTATTTCTTTTGGGATCACTAATTGCTGACTGGTTCCGAGGCCAGACAAGGGATTTATAACTTTGGACTCTTGGGATTTGAATTTAATTTTGAGACTTATAGTTCCATGTTTTGTATAATTAATAAAATTTTGCGACTCCTATTAGTAAATTTGTGTTTGGGTTTTTCAATAAGAAATCTGTTTCTTGATGATTGCGTGTAACTTTTCCGATGAAATATGATGCAATGCAAATTTATGAATATTTTTGGACTGGAATGTATGGAACTCTCTGTGGAAATGTATATTGTTATTTGATGTATATTCTCGTTGTAAAAAGTTCTAGGAAAATGATATGTAATTTGCATTATATGGCTTGAAGGATGACTCTGTGAGTTATTCACAAGGCATGTAATGCAATTATTTATCATAGCCTAGAACTTTCGTAATGTTTTAGTTATCATATTATGATGAGTCCTGATGCAGTGAGCCCCGTAGATGGTAGTGAGAAATGCGCCGGAACTTAGTTCCTGGTCCATAGTGGGATTCTGTCACTTTTTCTTTTTAAGGAGGGTGGCTACACGATCATTGAAAGGGAGGAAGGTATTATTGTGATTGTCGGAATCTTGCTTGTGAGGGTGACGACTGCCGCTCGTCATGGGGAAAGGAGTGGTCACCTTGGACTTGTGACGAATGGGGTCACCTCGCCTCTATGACCGGGTCTGACCAGCCTGGGTCATATAGAAAGGATAGTTCAACCTCGTAGATAGGGGACTAGCAAACACATGATACTGGAATCAGAGGCAAGGTGGTGAGGCTCGAGTCTAAAGCGGGGCTTGACGTCGAGATATTATCCCTTGAGGATTACACCACTCCTCGACGCATATTACAAGGCATGCAGGAAAAATATCATGTGTGATGACTCGTAATTGAAGTGGGATACAAAACCTGGACAAGGACTTTTGATAAATGGTTTCTCTCATGAATGGTTGGTTCAGATTCTGTCTGAGTCACCCATGAGGTTATTTATTTTGAAAGACCCGTCAGGGGGTTAAGCCTGACTCTTTTAGATAAATAAAAATGTTAACCGACTAGGGTTTAGAAGGCAAGCCGGAGGCTTTTCCCGGTACCATTCTGAGAGACTGAAATGATGTTTAGAATTGCCGCCAGTGGGATGATGCTGGGACCATTTAGACAAAGTTCCTTGAATATTTTATTGATTCTGAAACTTGAACCGGTATGAAATTCAGGTTTTGGTGAAAGGTTTGCCAGAGTCTATATCTAGTACCATTCCGATCAAGGATGATTGAATTTTAGATTACCAAGGCAATAACTCGGATTTTGGTTATAAGCTTCGGCTTATTTTTTGATTGAAAGAAGTTTTGTTTAAAGGAGTTCCATAAGAATCCAGAGAGCCCTATATTATTGATTAATATAGGGTGGATGACGGGGACGTCATTCAATGGGGCCTCGGAAAGCAGTCGGGGCAAATACCCTCACAAGGGTATTTGCCAGGATTTTTCAATGTCAGACGTTGTCTGATCTTTTCATTGAATTGAAGGACTTGATGAGACTGACGTTTGCCAAAAGTTTATTCAGACCAGTGCTATGAATGAGAGACCTAAACCTTTTTAGAACCTGACGTTGTCGACGTAAGACGACGTCGACGTCCGTGCGGGATAGTGGGAGTCAGCACTGTCATCCGTGGGTTTTCGACGAGGCCGCAGTAGTGTGCAGTCATGGGAAAACTAAAGTTAAACCTAGTCTACCTATAACAGTCGCGCGATTCAGAGCCTAAGGGGGCTAAAAATGGGACACATCGGTAAGGATGGACCGCGGCGTGAATGAATGGGTTAGGGTCCATAGGGCTTTTGCGCCGAGGACTAGGGGCGAAGGCGTCAGGGCCGGCTAGGTAGGGCTGCTATTAAGCCTGTCCGCTGCCGGTCCTGCCTGCCGGCCACGGTGGTGAGCAGGCTAGCAGGCACGGCCTGCTAGGCGCTAAAAACGGGCCCGCTGGGCGTTAGAAACCCTTCATATAGAAGGGTCGCTCCTTTGTTGATGTGAAAAGGAGCTAGCCCAATAGGTACCGTCGCCAGATTATCACCCCGCAGACATGGGAATCGAACCTGACTAACTGCACTACGGGCTAGCTCCTTTTGGAGCAGCCCACGAAATTTGGGTGGGCGCGGCCGATTTCAGCTGTGCGATCTTCAAGATCGCGCGGCTGAAATCAGTCGCGCCGAGATTAGAATGGCCCCTGCGCAAGGATGACACGCCTAAGTCGAGAATTTTTTTTTTCGATTCCCCGCAGGGAATGAAACCTGGGTCCGTATTCCAATAGATCGTGGGCTCACCCATGAGAATTCCACGGCGCGACAGGTGGCGCCCCCAGGAAGAGAGTTGAGGACTGTAGTCCTCAGCATGTTTTAGAAGGCGCCCGTTTTCAACGAGCAACCGTTTTTTATTCGGTGAGTTTTTTTTTTTTTTTTTTTTTTTTTTTTTTTTTTTTTTTTTCACCTTTTTTTTAGATTTTTTTTATTAGATTTAGTTTAGATTTTTTTTTTTTTTTTTTTTTAGATACCCGTTCGTTTGAACGAACGGATAGCTGTGCCAGACTGTTTCGTCGGGTTTCACCGACTCATCAGGGGGTTGGAGCCCGACAATCTGCAAATGCATAAACCGGGCGTTTATGGAGTCTAGGTACAAAAAGAGGGATAGAGAGAGAGAGAGAGAGAGAGATAGAGAGAGAGAGAGAAGAGAGGACTACCTACCTACCTACCTGCCTACCTAAGGTTGGCTCCTCAACGAAGAAAGCCAACCATAGGATAAGCAAAATCGAATGAATCTCCCACCTGAAAGTGGGAGAATACATCCCCCATGCAGTGGCCAAGCCATTGTTGCTTCTGTGACTGTTCAGGTAATTTTTTTATTTTTCTTTTGTTTCGTTTTTTTCTACGTTGCGATTCGTACTCACCCCCATACGAGTACAAGTTGTACTCATTTCTTGTACGCTACTCGTACTCAAGGCCCATATGACTTTTTTTAATTTTTTTTTACTGTTTTTATTTTTTTTCTCCAATTCTAATTAGAATCTGCAGATGGTGCTCCGGCAAATGTTGCTTGTCTTGGGATTTTACATGACATATTTTTCGGAAGAACTTTTTTTTTTTTTTTTTCGTACGGGTCAGACGGGGGCGTACAGGTTCCCGTACATATATTATCTGTACGTTCCGTACGGAAAGGCCCCGTACGTGTACGTTCGGTAACATAGGTTTTTTTTTCCCCTTCCCTGTTCGTGAGCCGTTGAGGCACGACCAAACTGGGAAAACGAGGGGGGCTGAAACGAAAAAATTAAAAACTGTAAAAAAAAAAAAA